TTTTCGAATTCCTTCACATGCATTTTACAGTCCACTTTAACTCCAACTGATGACTTTGAAATGTATGAATCAATCTACAATGTCGTTGAACCCACATGTTTTTAGGCATGGCAATGATCTACCAATCCTAACAACAAAACGTAGGGAGTAATGTATTGCTAGTAAGTCGGATTATGAATGGGCTTTCTCGAATTCAACTTAATTAGAAATATATTTCTCAATATGACTCTTCTATCAACTCAAGTGTGAAATTGGAAAAAACATTCCACGTGACGTTTCTAATCAACTAATTCATATTTGTGCATCTTCTCCTTTTTATTATTTGCGTTGATGTAAATTCCGGATTGTAGTTTCAACACGAGCCTTTTTGTACACTGAAACATGAAAAGCAATGAAGTATCCAAAGCTCTGCACATTGACATCAATAAAGTAATCCGCTTTTGAAGTGAAGAAGAGATGCGCACTTTTCACTTGGGTTGCTTCTGATACTTCCACGAGGGTTTGCCATACATCGTGTACTTACTAGAATTGGAGATTTGCATAAAAGTGTAACTTAAAACTTAAGGATTGAATCATATTTTTGTTGTTCCCTTCAAACATGTTCCATGAAATGAATTAAAGTTCAAAAACTACTCAATGGTTCCCATAGGAGTGACTCTTTTCCCATTTCACTCTATGTCAAGATATTCAAACCCTTCACATCTTCTTCCATAAAGAAAGGAATTTATAAAACAACTGTTTGATGAAATCAATCAAATGATGAGATTAATAAAAAATATGTGATGGTTTCTATACTTCGCCAACCAGAAAATAAAAGTGAAAACAAATTAGACAAAGAAAGAATCCTAAGTTGCTACTTGGAAGCACCGATCGTAAATTGAAAATGGGAAGAGACTATGTAAAGTGAACTTCCATCAAACCTGAAATTTGATAGAGTCGTCCAAGAAACACATTATCCTTAATATTTCAAGCTTCTCATGATATTACCCACAAATACATGCCAAGAGTTGAGAGAAATGACAAAACTAGTCGACATCGAACACATTCTAGTGACCGAAAGTTTAGAGAGAAATGACATCACATTCACAACACTCTCTACTGTGCGTGCTTGAACAATCCTGAGTTATTGCCATCCAACTATTTAAGACTCTTCAACTAATCGAACTGCTCTTTAAGTAATCGAACTGCTGCGATACATGCTGCACGAGAAGGGCAATTATTGCACAAAAGGGCAATTATTGCACGCGTAATTTCCACAACATTGCTCAGAAGGTGCACGGAGCCTACCCATCCATTTTGTTTGAAAGTGAGCATGACTTGACTTCGACTTGACTTGCTTTTTCTATTAATAAAATAATTAGAAAATGAAAGCAAGGGGCAATTATTTCAGGCGTAATTTCCGCAGCACTATGCGGAAGGTGCGTTCAACCTACCTATGCATGTGCTCCTTGACTTGACTTGCTTTTCCCAGTAAATAAGAAATTGAAAAGAAAACCAACTAGCAATACTGATGCTTGGAGTAAGGTCGGCAGAAGATTAGATGCACACGTTTTACGAAAGACTAGAATTGGATGAGACTCTGTATCACGATTTGAATGGAACTAATAAGCATATTCGGACATTTGATATATCAACAATGACTGAAGAATCTATAGTATATGGATATTGCATTATCAAGGCAACTGACAATCGATTGAAGGTAAATACGGAAGGTTTTGTTTGTTCTTGCTTGGGCAAGTTAGACGATTACAACGATCTTGTTTGCACAATCAACAACTAATTGAGTTGCACGAGGTAATTCTGTTAAATCATCTCATTACATACACGTGGTGATTTTGTTGTTCCTTCTTTTTCCTTTTCATGGACTTACAAGTTGGCTCCTCGTGAGTGGGTGGAATCGCAGGTTTATATATTTAGTGTCACATTTAGAAATTCTTGGCCAACGGGTTCTCCACTGTCGAATAATTATTTAGTGATGCCATTTTCCTTTTTATTTCATTTGGTGTTTAGCTTTTTATTTCGTGTTAACATTTTCGGCTTACAAGTTCTACCAAAGTGCATTTTTCCTTAGCACAATATTAAGCTTCTTCGGAATGAAATGATTAGATAATATTAAAAAAAAAGCTCAACGGCTTAGTATGCGAGTGACTAAGCACGACTCATCATTCTAGGATCAAAAGCTTGCAAGCAAGAAGATTAAAAATTGAACGTTATGTCACATGATCAACTAGTGATTTGGAAAGGAAATCCTATGTGCTCGCTATCCAAAAAAAGAAAGAAAAGAAAATCCAATAAGTTATGTAATACACAAATTTAGAAATAATTTCGAGTCGAAAGTTTCAATACATGGGTAAAACCACGTCGCTCAAAGTCTCAATTGTACAATCACAAGCCCATGTCCTATGACAAGGTCCAAACTAGTTCCTTTAATTGAAGATGGACGGAATGCATGAAATGCATAGACCTAATTTAGGATTATGATTTGATGTATAATTAATACTAACGACTATATAAAGAGACATGCCAAATGCCACGATTTGATTTGTTTAGTTGAAGATCTTGTCACAGAATAGTATTAATTGGCAATAGAAGAATAGCACAGCATGCCAACATTGATAAGACCCCCAGCATCCTAATCCCGATTCTAATTCTGTTCTATTAGGCAACTTGACGCAAGCCTTGTTATCACTACATAAAATATTTTCAACTTTGATAGCGGTTCCCTCATGCCTGCACAGCTTTAAATTGTTGTCATGTCCATTTGAGTTTGTACGATACTTATTTACCAGTGTAACAATCCAAATATAGGCAGTGTCGAATTAGATAAATATTTGACATCTAATACCAACAATCATTTTGAATTCCTAATTTTCCCTTAACTTTTTATTCTTTTTTAGAAATATTCTTAAAAGGTGTGGAAATTTGAAAATACGTGGAAAAACCAAGCATAGAAAATGAGTCAACAATCATTTACGTCCATTTATAGGTCTCAAGCTGTAAATGAACACAATTGAAGCTTCTCCTCAAGATCCAAATAAATGATTAACGAAAAGCGTCAATAAGACAAAACTTATGCCACAAATGTCTCAAATATTTTGGTCCGTTCATCCCAAATTTTTGTTTATGATTATGAATGCCCCAGACATTGGCTCCACCTAGGTCATTCTCAGATCGGTAGGGACGAGGGCTTTTCCCCCACCGGTATTTATGTCTCAGCCGCGCTGTTTTCAATCCACAAGCGAAGAAACCCACATTCGGAAACCATCGCGGTCTCTCAACAAGGACCGAGCTCGAGATTCTAAGGAAAGTAACATTTGGGGTCACGTTTTTCGCCTTGAAAGATCATGGTCCGCGTGCAGAGAAGGGACGCTCGCGAAGGCAAGACAGCCTTCCGGAACAGCTTCTTCCCTCTAAGCAGAGAGAGAGAGAGAGCGGCTCCCTGGCCGATCCCACGATGCCATTGTTGTGGAGCTTCGGGATCTTGGGGACTTGGCTCGACCGTCTTAAGTGGCTGAAGAAGACGGTGATGGTTATGAGTTGAAGACAACACTACTCCGGTTTGAAGAAGAGGCAACGGTCTCCAAGAAATGAGCTTTGGATGAAGAAAGTGTAAGCATCCGATTTCACCATTTGGGCCGTTTTTTGTCTGGATTGATTTCAGCCCAACAACAACTCCAACTGAGATCCTGGGAAAGTGGGAAAAGGGCGAGAGTCCTCTATACTTTATAGGGGAACGATTCGCGTAATACCAAAAAATAAGAACATAAATTTTCAATTAAAAGAAGGGCTAATATCGCCTTTAGTCCCTCGACTTTCTTGTCCTTTTTTTTCTTCAAAGGCTATCTCTACTTTTTAAAATTTATCACGTTATTGATGTGAATTGTCAAAATGCTGACTTGTAATGTCGGCCCCTTTAAAATGACCATACATAGGATGGAAAAGTAAAAAAAAAGAAAAAGCAATTGAAAACGGAGGAATTGTATAAAAAGAAAAAAGGAAGATGGGATTTAGTGTTCTGTAAAGAAAAAACAAGAAAAGGGAAAACGAATTAGGGTTTTCGAATTGGTACCACTCCAATCGGGCGAAAATTGTGGACTATAATTAATGGCGGTTTCTTCATGAAGCATATGATCCACCATTACTGTAATGAACATGACAAACCTTTTCTTACGTTAATTTTTGTCCAACAAAATGTTTTGAATGCTTTTATAGCAGTTGTTTTTTTTTTCTTTTTCAAAATTTTAATTGGTTTTAGTAAGTGGCGAAAAGAGATCGTCAAATAATGGCCGAAAAATTGATTTTTTGCGTTATGTCGAATTTTTCCTACACTACAAATAAGGCGTTGACAAGTACACTAAAACATGTTTCTGGTCCCTTTAAACTAAAACTAAATTTTTAAGAAAAAAACAATTTACTTCTCATAAATAATTGATCATGCTAATGAGGACCTCAAGAATGACTTTCAAGTGTATCTTATGATGATTGATGTAATTTCCAAAGTATTGACGGCACATATAACAAGAAAGGTTAGTACATTGAAAATTACTAATTTTCTTTGTCTAACTTATGCTAAGTAAGTTACGATCGTGTTCTTTAATAAAATGATAAATACATTTACTTTTGTGAAGAAAGTTGTGCTTTTCGCCATAGAAATTGAGCTTTGTGCTTAGTGGGCATAACTATTTCCACAGTCAAAAGTTGTCGTGACCACAGCTTTTCCCAATCTTTTCAGTTTCCATAAAGAAAAAGATGGAACTGGAAATCTATAGGACAAGGTCGACGCCGTAGCAAGTATCAACTTGGAGAAAAATAACGTCATTTGAGGAAATAAAAAGTACAGTTTTCTTATTGAAATGAAGCTCCCTAGAAACAGGCGCCCATTTCGGATGTGAAATGAAATGGAAAAGTAGCATTCGTTAAACCTTTACTCTTTAGAGAGCTAATGTTATCCCCGCTGTTAGAAAAACACGCATCGACAATATTTGCAATGCGAAACACAATTCTGTAACAAGGCGCTTATTTCAATCCAAATGAGTGCATGTGCTGATACGTTTCCCATTGGTACAAGTTCTGGACCCTTAAAGCCCACAAATCTTCAATTAAAAGGAGGGGGTAAAGAGGAAAGAAGAAAGCTGAAAAGACCAAACTACGTTCCTATATAGAAAGTGTATTCAGTAAATCATTTCAGTCCGAAACAAGGCCCGGATCTGTTCCACCTGCAAAATATGCAATCAAATTCAAGACAGCTACACGAGAGTTCTATGGTGAATATCTCCAGTCCCCACTTCAGACCACAATGTGAAACAGCATTCTTCGGTGAGAGAGAGAAAGAGGGAGGCTCAAGGGGAGAGAGATCATTCATTCAACTAAAAACATCTTCAAGCTCTCAAAGCAGCTTTATGAACTGTGGTTTCCTTGGGGATTTGGTGGCAACTTTTCTCGACAAGGTCAAGCAGCTTTTCCAAATTTGTCGCCCCTGAGTTCAAAATCTCATTGCGGTCCTTCGTCATTTGGAAACCGACAATTCCCATTGGTCAGTCTATCTTTGCCACCAGGGACTTGGAAACAACCATTAAGGAGAGATGCTTCTCAGCTTCCTAGAATGGCAATATAGAAGTGAGAGGTCATGCTGATAGAATATCATACAAGCTCGTATAATTATCATTAAATGGACTGTCTATCAGATGATAGTATTGATTTAATAAATTGAGGCATGTGATTGAATTAAGCTCTTAACAACAGCAATAAGAGAACCCAAAAACAAAGCTCTTTTCCTTGAGTGATTTAGCTACAAAGATTTTCTGAACACATTAATCAAGATCTCTAGCGAGATATACTTTTGTAACACAGGAAATGGTGAGTGTTAATACAAGCAGAAAAGCTTGCTCAGCTATATCTAGCAATATAGCAGAGCTCCTCCCCCCCTTCTAAAGCGCATTAGAATTGCAGGCTCCATGGCACAAGAAATGGTTTCACAATGCCAGACAATGACACTTACAGCTACAATAAGTTTATGAGCAGAAGTTGACTGAGCCAAGTGTACGAAACAAAAATATGAAGACAACATTCTCAAATCCACGGCAACTTGTATCTAAGTCCAGCAACCATGCCCCAATCAGGGATCACAGGCAGAGGGGCTTCTCAGGGTTAAATGAGGGGTCTAGGCAATCATTAATAAAGAGTGACATTGATAAAGAACATAAATAAATGTTCCACATAATCAGACCTGGATACTGAGGCATAACAGCTCTGCAAGTCTCTTTAGGGTAATCCTCAAGGAATACTTCAAAACAACGATAATATTATGCAGAAAATAGAGCGAGTCACATCTGAATGGTGATCCAATGAAAAGAAGAAAAACGACAAGTTCTGTAATTACATGTTCAAAGATTCTCTGAAGAGGCTCCAAGCTAAAGGTAGCTTGTCTCGCCCAGGAGAAGCCAAAATTCTTCTTTTGACTATGATCAGGCCCTGTCTAAGATTTTCTGCTGCCTTCTCAACCAGTGCATCTCCTAGCATGTTTTCTCATTCTCAAATTCTTCTTTGACAGTACTTTAAAGAGAAGTCCGTTGGATAACCTCCACTGTGACCAATTGTTTCAGCAGCAACCTGCGTTAAAATATCAAAGGCATGGTCGACCAAATTCTATGGCACATTATTGAGATATTGAAAAATGTACAACCAATTACCTAGAACAATTCAAAGATGGTACCTGAATTGGGGAATTTCTGATAGATGTTCATCCTCTAAAGTGGCATTAAGAAGGCTTGACTACATAGGATCATATGGTTATAGAACTAAGTACCAGCAGATTTTCCTTAGAACCTGCATTTAATTAAATCACAGAATGAACAGCTGAACCTTGAAAAGCTCGGTGAAGACTTAACAAGGAAAGAACTTCATCGGTATCCACTGCTCTGGGTTGCACTTCACTGATGGAATCTCATATATCGCCTTATAGTATCAACAAATCTCAAGGTAATCATTGTTATGTGAGTATTACCTATGCCTACATCATGAAACACAAAATGTGGGGTAAACTAAGATGTGAGTTAAAATCTACCAGTACATCTGGAACGTCAAAGTTTGCGATAAAGCTAGAAAGGAAGAAGAGTATGTGCCAGATATATAAAGCCATACAAGTTCGTGGTTTGAACCACAACCTGAACACCGGGTGGCGCTTGATCGGCAGAAACAAATTAGTTAAAAGATAGTGGACACAACATTAGAAAAAGAAAAACACAAATTTACCGTGTCACGGGTCATAGTATATCCATTTCAACTCCAGAAGTGACGGAAAATCAGCTGGCGCTAGTTCGACAATGTTTTCACCTTCTTTAGGCCTTTTCTTTTCTTTGGAAGGATCTGCATCAAACACTCAGGGAGCTGATCTTCCTGGAAAGGATATGTGCACAGACATAATCCTGGCGATCTAAGCACAAACGAACCTACAAAATCCATCGATCAGAAAACCAATAATAGTAACAGTGCATAAACAGCTAAAAGCAATACAAAAAACCCGTACTTGTTGAAAAATAAAGGCAATTTTCTCCGTCCTTGCCATTGCTCCAAAAGTTTCTACCTGCATTTCAAACCCATCATAGGAATGTTCGACAAGGAAAAACCAATTACATGACAACAGAAGTCAAATTCAAGTTACCCCGATTTCTTGCATCAAATCAGTAGCTTCTGCTATAAGACCCTGTTCTTCCTTTATTTTTGCAAGTTTCTTGATCAACCGTGCTCTCTCAATTTCGACATATATCTGGCATGACAAAACTAGCTATAGAAACCACCAAACAAAAACAAATTGCTGATGAATATAAGCTGTAATAGAGTTTGATTACACATATTCACCTTCCCAGCGGCGACAGAGTTAAGTGTCTTGATAAGCTCTATCTTGGTCTCAAGATTAGTTGTCTGGCCAACATATTGCATAGCCTGCTGCACCATTGCTGTCACAGCCTGTTGATAAGAAAACAGCGACATGTCGGTCACTATCCAATCAAGTCAATGACTTTATTACATCGAGATCACAATTAAAACTTTGATTTGAACTATTTGATTAACAGAACGGAAAATTTGTCACTCTAGAATGAAAATATGGTCAATAAAGGAACCAAAAGGGACAATAGCAAGGTGCAATGCAAATACAGGTATCTCTATGAAGAGGATCCCAGCCAATTGAAAACTTGCAAACAGCACAAGCACTATAATATCCCCATAAAGGACATATCATGAAACACAACATGAACTAGACATGAAAAAAATGTAATGTGTATCATACATGAGTAGGAGAACCGGAAGTAAAAATTTGGATCAATCATGGGAGAGAATCCAGAAACACAAGGTGAGAAACTGAAGAGGATTCCACAATACTAGATTCTAGAGGATTCACCATACTAGATTCTAGAGCACAAGCACCAGGCCTGAGATCTTGCATCCCAACAGATTGCCTTGAGCCAATTCCCACTTCGATATGGCAAGCACATTCGTTTTTAGATAGTTATACATAGATGGCATGTCACAGCTACACAAAACGACTGTTCATGATCTAATCAATACACATACGGGAGGCAATCCCTGCAGTATAAAATCTAACCCTTAAGGTAAAGGTTGTTAAGATTGATCCTAAATGATTGAAATTGGACCATACTTTAGATCAATGATCATGAGACTACAGAAAATTAAGGTATAAAGTGATAGATTCTTAAACTTTTTTCTGTACTAACACCTGTATGTTATCTTTGAAAAGAGGGAATGAAGCTCAAAAGTAGAAGATAAAAGCAGGAGCATCACCACAGCAGAAGCACATCACTGAAGAAGCTCTCCTACCTCTTAATGAAAGTTAACTAGAGAAGCATCTGGGCCAAAAGTAAAGAAGAGAATAAAACAATCGCAAAACCAGATAATGGCGGTGAAAAGAAGAAGACAGCAGGATGAAAGAAATAAACAGGGTAAAGAGCTATATGCTATGACGTAAAAAAGAATTCCGTCCCCAGCCAGAAGAGATGGTTGCTGTACAAAGGTGTTCGCATTGTGCTGCACTGCTGTTTGTGGAGGCACAGAAGACCTTCCATTACCCCAACCCAAGCTCTCATGAAGATAGAGCCCACTTCCAACTCCAGCAATAAAAAGCTATTCTTACTCCAGTGAAAAGCTTATGGATTCACCCAAGTCTGTATAGAAAGTATCTTCAGCCTTGCCACAACCACCAATTAAATCTTCCATCCAATCTAATTCAGGATGAGGGCGGCACCTCATTCTCATTTATAATCCCCTCATAGTTCAATCCCCAAAGTTAGCCCTAATTAGCAGGTTTGGCCTTTAGATATTGTTTTAGACGCACAATGGATCATGGACAGTGAGAACTGGGGCCTAATTTCATTTACTATGAGGTTGAGTCCTAATTAAATAGGCAAAGTAGGATATTTGGGACTGGGATTAGGAATCCCATTCTACATATCCAATGATCCTTCTCCTGGTCCCAACTGGGAATGATTTTTGACGTGACCAACTTCCATCTTTTTAATTGCATCCTATACAGACAGCAATCCTAAAAACGATTTTCAATGTAACAATCTTGTATAGATATAACTAACAGCCACTATTCATAATGCTCTGACTAATCCAGAGGAACTTATCAGCATTCGGCGTAGCATAACAATGAAACACCATCAATGAAGAGCGAAAATTCCACCAAGTTATCATGCAAAAGCAGAGATGAAAAGGTAAATACCTGGACATAGGTTAACCTCAACGATCCCATTTGCTCCTAAAAAAGGAGCGCAAGATACTTCTTTTTATTACACGAAAGTTTGGGAGCAACCGACTACAGGAAAAACAATTTAACATGTATGATTATCCAAGTATCAGTGTCATCAAATAATTTTGGCTCCTTTATATCATTTGAAGGGGAAGGCGAAGAGTGCTTTGAGCTGGGAAGACAAAAGTTCATGCCCCAAGAACTAGGCAGATGACTGAACGCAATAATCTTGGTTCCTGCTTTTTCAATATTCCTTTTGCCACCGGCAAACGTAACACATGCTGTGTTCATGCATGGGAGAAACTCCACAGAATGGAGAGGTACAACCCATACTCATAGCTCATCTTTAATTGATTGTATATTAGTTTGTCTGTGGGTAGACGAACATCAATCCTTGAATTAGTATTATGAATCACTCCTCTGGCAACCCAATCTCAATTTCTTTTCTCTCTGATTTCTTTGTTATGTAAAAGGTATAATAAGTGAGGCACCAAGGCAATACCTATCCGTCTCTATACAACATAATTCAAATCCTAAAACAAATCTAGTAACCAGAATAAAAAACAAAGAGGAGCACCGGCTACTACTATCTTCACTAAACCCTGAAAAGATGACAAAACAAAATAAAACTACTTAACTTAAACAATGTGCCTTCTCTCTGTGTCATCATAGACCAAGGATATCATCTATTTTCCAATCCTTCAATCACATATGTTACTTCAACTCCAAAGGGAGGGTCCATCTTGTAAAAGTACAGGTTCAAAGTATTTTGCTAGTAACTGCCTACTAGATAGTCCCACAATGTCCAGCTTATCCACACAGCTTTGTGCATTATTCTTTTACTCAGCTGAAAGAATTATTTCTGTCCTTCGTTGATGAGCACTTCCAGTTAGTGTTCTTGGTAGGATTCAACATCACACAATCTTACATTTACTTGATGTATCGGGGAGATGTTTCCCGATAGCTAATCTTGGTTGAATGTTTTGGTTAAGTTACCAGGTAACCTTTGGACAACTCCTACCTATTGAGTTTGCTGTCTCCTCCAACGCCAAATGGTTATGGAGGAAACTCAAGTTGTTTACTACTGAGGTGATGAAGACTCGCCCGATATCAATCAATTTTCACTTCATAAGTAAGTGCAAATTCAAGAGGCCTGCCAGAAAAGATATCACCAGGGCTATCTCTTTGCTTTTTTACATATTTTACTATGTATACATCCATAACACAGGCGCAACCATTAGACTTCCACAGGAACATCATCAACCCCAAACTTTCCTTCATTAGAGGAAAAAGAAGAAGAAGAAGAAGTAACCAGGCAGGCGAATCAAGCATCGAAATTGGACAATCGCCAAAGGAGGATTCAATAAAAAAGAAAAAGAACTAACCATCTCGATCTGCTCCTAGGAATCGCAAGGCCAGCTCGAGGAATCGGCAATTGGACTCGGTGAACCCCCTCCCTCAGTCGCGAAAACTACTGCTCTTCTTCCGTTCTCTCTCTCTCTCTCCTTGACTGAACACAACTGATGATGAGAAGAAAAGAATGAATGAGGGAATGGGAAGAGAAAATGGGGAGGAGATCCGAAACACCTTCTTTCTGTCTGTGATCCTCACCCCCAACTGGCCCAGACCACCTCCCTCCCTCCCACCTCCCTCACTTCCAGCGGGACAACGCCTTTAAACGCAACAGGTCCGGTGATTGTCTAAGAGACGGACATCCAGAAATAATGAATTCTCGCATGGGTCCTAATCCCTCCAGCCCTCGAATTTCAACTAAATTTTCGCATATGAAAGAACGAAAATGCTGCAGATTCTTTACGTTCAAGAGGTCCACCGATCTAAGGGAAGAGCACCCGCCAATAGTCAAATATGTCAAGGATTCTGATCTATCGGGGCCTTGAATTTCAGTTACACCATTGCAACTCCAAACAAAAAGGCTTCTCAGGTATTTAAAACTGGAAAAGTCTAGCAATCGTCCGGCGGACGTGCACTTAAGGATATCCGACACTTGAGAGGATTTTGATCCACCAGGGTCTTGGATTTCAACTGAATTCACGCAACTTGTTGCGGTGTCCATTCTCTGCAGAATCTTTGAATCGGAAAGATCTAGCGATCCATCGAGCTGAGATGCATTTGGGCTCATCAACTTCGAAGAATCTTCAATCCCATCAACCCTAGCTATCTTAGGGCATTTCCCTGCAGGTAAGTTGGATAGGCAATGTGAACCTTCGAAGCCGGTGACTTCTGCGAGATGAAAGCAATTGGTGAGATGCAAATCTGATAAGTGCTTCGAGTTTGACAAATTCGTGAATGCTTTCAATTTTCCGCAACCTTCAATAAGAAGCTGCGATAGTCCAATGGGAAGCTCTGGGACATGTTCAAGCCAAGGGCAATTATAAAAAGCGAGTGTCTCGAGACGGGATAGTTGGGAAAAATTGGGCAACGGCGGCCTTTGGCAGGTGATAATTAGAATTGTTAAGCCAGAAGACAGTTCTGGTAATTCTCGGAGCTTTTCACAATATTTAACATCGAGCTTTTGGAGAGAAGAGAGCTTAGAAATGCTTTCTGGCAAGCCCGAAATGCTTGAATCATATAAAGAAAGCTCCTCCAACGAAACCAATTCGCATATATTACTAGGTAGCTGTTCTAGCTTTTTGCATCCTCCAGCTTCCAACCTTTGGAGTTTTGCCAACTTCCCGATGGCATCAGGCAATTCCTTTATGTTAGTTCTATGTATGTCCAAGATCCTCAAATTTGGCATATTCCCAATGCTTTCAGGTAATTTCGTAATCGATGTATTTCCTAAGTACAACTCAGTCAATGATGCTAATTTTTCAATCGAGTCGGGGATCTCTGTCAATGAGGAGCAGTCATGTAAGAACAAGCTTTGTAGGGATGCTAGATTGCCTATGGAGCTGGGTATGTTATCTAATAGTCTACATTCAGAGGCATTCAAAGTCTCGAGCTTCTTCATGGAACCAATGGATTCAGGTAATTCTTCAATTGCTGAATCAGATAAGTCCAATAGAGTTAATGAGACAAGGGAGCCCATAGATTTAGGAAGTTGAGAAAGTCGTTCACAACATTCGACACATAGAGTCTCCAGCTCCATCAAACAACCTCTCGAAATAGGAATCTCTTGTATATTAGTGTAATTTATGCGAAGCTCCGTTAATTTTACCATTCTACCTATTCCTGCCGGTAGCTTCTTGAGTCTTTTACACCAAGAGACATCCAAGCAAATGAGGGTCTTGATGTCCCCAATAGAAGGATGAATCTCTTTTAGATTTTGACAACTTACAAGAATCAAAATCTCCAAGCTTTCGAAAGCAGACAAGTCGGGAGTTCTTCTCAAAGATTGACAATTCTCGAGGTTGAGAACTTTGAGCTCGGTTGCCATCTGAAAAAAAGAAATGGTACCTCAATGTCATTGGACACTGGCAGCCTGTGATTTTCCACTACTCCTTATGTTTTGACATTTTAGAATTGCTCAAAAAATGCTTGTGCTCCTTGACTCCTTCACAGTTGTCTTGTTTAATTTTAAATGTCTCTTTTGGTAGTGTTTGACCACGCCAATAGATAAATGTTTTTTTAAGTATATCAATTGCAAAAGAATGTTGGGGATGTATAAGTGTTGACTGCATTTATTTTCGTATAACATTTCAAAGGAAATGTTTACTGATTAAATAGAAGCAAATTTTATTATCAAATAGCATATGACAAATTCAAATGGAAGAGAGATGCATTCTTTGGGCACCATGTATTCCTTCAATAGTATGAGATTAAAGAGAAACGGCTAGTTTAATTATGAAAATCAATTTTCAAATGTTATATGTACAAGGAAAAAAAATTTATATTGAAAATACTTCAATGCCTTCTTTACATCTTACCTTGAGTGGAGCCCATCCTCCCCAGTCCTCCGAAATTGTACTGTTTGACAGATCGAGTACAACTAATTTATTCGGATGAAAGTTGGCCGCAGTAAAATCCGAGGGACAATTCGCCCACTGAAGCCATCTTAATTTAGGAAGTAAGTTTTGGAAATCTCCGGCGAAATTCGCACCATCCGCTAGAAGGAACCTCAAGTTGGTCATTTCTTTAAATTGTTCAGCTGTGTATCTTCTTCCCTTGCCACATTTGCCAAGAGAAAGTGCCTCAATCTTTCTAGTGCCCTGCAACTTGGAAACATTGTGGACCATAAGTTTTAAATGATGAGATGAGATCAATTGATGTAAAATAAAATGCAATGATTTCAATTTGCTGTCATACTATCATGGCGTAGGCTTCTCCTTTAAATTTTGTTTTTGACATGTTATGGTTGCATACTATTTATCTAATCTATGTAAAGATCAGAAGCTCAAGGGGTTGTTCCCAAAGTTTTCCTCTTCCAATTATGCTCTTCGCAATTTGCACCTTCTGAATGCCCAAAATTTGCATCCATTTGCAATTACAATAGATGGCCTCTCTTCATGTATACACTAATTCAAGTATATCTATGAAAATTCATGCCATTTATATGTGAAATAACACTACATTTACTCCTATCTTGCATATGTGAACCAATACGACTCTAAGAGTCCAAATACATCCATCAAACTTGCCATCAAAACATGTATCAAAATTAAGGAATCCAAATTGTAGAATCCCCCCATTCTTTTTGGTATACTACGTTTGCAATTCTAAATATCAAAATGAAAATGAGAATGTCATCACAAAAGGTACTCATGTGTTTTACGTTCCTTTCTTATCATGCGTTTCTTCGCTGAGGGTTTTGCAGTATACGTGGAAGGAAAATTGATAATATCGAATGTTCTATAAATGATTCTTACTTTCTTTTTATTACTATAGATGTTTGACGCTATCTTTTCGTTGCCGTATTGATTTTGTTATAGTGTAGTAGTAGTCACCTAAATTTTGATCAATGTTCCCATAGATTAATGAGATCTTCCGTATGAACAGATTGGACATGAAGATTGATACAATTGTATTCTTAAGGAACTCTAGTCTTTTACCTTTTTCTTTTGTTGTAACCTAATATTTTAGGAACTCAAATTCGTTTTTTGTTTTAGGTGATGCACACTGAGCACAAATCACGAGAGTTAATATTACGGATTTGTTTGGTGGTTTCAACTTTTCCTTCAAACCTGTAGTCTTTCATATGAGACGGTACTTGTTTTTACATTACAAGTTTCTTGTATGTCTATTGTAATTTTGTCAACAACTTCATAGATACCTTTTTTTTTCACTTCTAAGCTATGTTCTATTCAGTTGATTACATTTTCCTTCATGCAAAAATATGCTCGCTGGAAAGAATTGGTAGCATTTTTTTTCAATAGTCTTGTTATTTCATTATGTTGTGCATCGCAATGTTTATATTTAGTTTTTCTTAATTAACGATACTCATGACATTTGCACATGCTTGTTTGATGCTTGTACAAATCATCCACATATTATAATTGCTTTTAGTGGATCACCTTTTAACTTTCATGCTAATAATGAAAATTTATCTCACACGAAATTCAAAACCATATTTACTTTGTTTAAAAATACCAAAAATCCTAAACTGGTAGAATTCTTCCACATTTATCCCATACTAATTTTCATGTCATAAAAAATCTCAAACTAATAGTCCCTGTTACATTTACCCCAATTTAATTTTCGTTTCACAAAAATAAGATAATGGTACACATGTTAACTAAATCTTTGCTAAATAAGATGCTCACTAAGAGTTGAACAATAAACAAATAAGTATAATTGCACGATAGCTTATATTTAACAATAAATAATATCGGGGTATTAATAGAAAAATCATCCATCGTCACAAAAATAAAAAGTATTAGCATATTTATAGAAAGAAACTATCCATTATTATGAAAAGTCTATACAACGAAAATAATATATAACTAAAGGGTGATATTGCATGGTTGCTCATATATCATAAATGCCACATCAACAAATTGACGATGTCCACTAACGATTGACCCCAAAGGCTCGATTGCAAAAAAAAGTGAAAGTTAGAGGACTATATTGAGCAAAAACAAAAATAGATGGGGGACTAAATTGCACTACCAATAATACTTAGGGGATACACTTAACCCAACTTAACAAATACAGGAACCAAGATCACTAAATCATCACAAATGAATGGACGTCTGATTTATCATACCAAACAACTCATAAGAAGTCAATACTAAGTAAAAGAAAAAAGAAATAGAAGACCTCACAAGAAACCAAAAGACAAATCCAAACATCAAATGCGTGCATCAAACAAATATGTGGGAAATGCATGCCCGCAACATTTTATAAATGTCAGTTTTTCTCTAAAAGTACTCTGTCAAACATTCTGTTTTTGTAGTTTTTATCATTGCATTGAAGTTACCAAAAGGAGAGCATCCTCATCACAATACTACTAGGTATAGATATATATTAATCATCCATAACCAAGAAATTGCTCCTCAGTTATGTTCTAGAATTAGGCAAAAACAGCAATTAATCAAAAGAACTCTTTTGCGAGTAGAAGCAGCAAGTTTTTGGGGATATAAAACTAACAATTATTTTTATTTCAAACAAGAAAGGGAAGGTGTACCCACGTCATTGACCCAAACAAGTACAGAAGACTCTTACCTTGTTGTTGACAAGCACGTCTAGGGCTTCTTCATAAATCCACAGTCTGCTACGCTCTTGAGGCTCCTCTAAATTTTCTAGACGAACAATTTCCCTTCCAAGATCTCTCAGTTGATCATGCATAATTAGCGTGCCATCTTTGTCAATTTTAATTAGGGACCTAAGACTTAATACTTCGATCCCCATCCCAGGGAAAAAATCACAAGCATCCCACATATACATCGGACTTTGTTGAGATGATCCAATAAAAAAAACATGCAATATCCAAAAATATCCGTCGTTCATCAAAATCTAATACATCGTAACTTATCTTCAATGTCTCTTGCACTTTCTTATTAGGCATTTTCCTCAATTTCTTTGATGTATCTTCCCATGCTCCTTTTTTCTTTCCGCACAATAATGAACCTATAACTTCAAGAGCTAAGGGAAGCCCCCCAGTAATGGATGCAATCTCACGAGAGATAACCTCATAATCACTTGGAGGATAATCCTGTCGAAATGCATGTCTACTAAATAAAATCAACGATAGATCTAAAGGCAACTCGTTGAGTTCATACATGGGCCTTGCCCCAACCTTGTCAAGAATACTCTTATTTCTGGTTGTGATGATGATTACACTTCCTGCTGTAAACCAAGTACCGTCTCCGACCAAAGCATTCAAGTGAGTATCATCATCCATGTCATCGAGAAGAATGAGGACATTCTTGTTTGTAAATAGAGATTTGATTTTATCAATTCCCTCATCAACATTAAACACATCATCAAAATTTTCTCTTGCAATAGAAATGAGTTGCTTTTGTACGTATTCAATACCCTTGTGCTTAGATGTTTCTCGAATATTTGCCACGAATCTACGACAGTCAAAATGACTAGAGAGCTTGTTGTATAACACCTTTGCAAGAGTTGTCTTACCGATGCCGCCCATTCCATAAATTCCGATAATCCGTGTACCATTGAAGTTAACATTTATCAAACTCGTAATTTGTTCCACATGATCATCAATTCCCACCAATTGTTTAGGAACACTTAACTGGAAAAGTCTTTTTAACTCGTTCAAAACTTTTCTGACAACAAATTTAACCAATGTTCCTTCATGCCTATCAAATAACAATGAATTTCAGTTTAGAATAGCAATATGTATATTCTTTTTTAAGAAAGATCTATTTATGAAAAATTAAACAATGTTTTGTTGGAGAATAATGTACCCGTTATCAATTTTCTCCGATTCCCATCCTTTCAATGAGCTGACTTCTTGGAGTGCTTCTTCCCATTCCTTCACAACCATTTCATCCATATTCTTTTTATGCGCATCGATAGCATCTCTCCATTTCCCTGTCGGATGTTGCACCTGTGAGGGTTCCACTTTGTAAAATATGGGCAACACTATCTGCCCTTTACTTTTCTTGCGCTTCAACATCTCAGCTAGCTCGCGGAGGCACCATTTGCTTGAAGCATAGTTCTCCGAAATAATCGGGATCGAGATCTTAGAATTTGCAATACTGCAAAGAAGCTCCGGACCAATCTTCTCACCAACAGGGAGCTCATTGTCATCTCTAAACACATGAATTCCTGCATCGACAAGGCTATTATAAAGATGATCGGTGAATCCTTTGCGAGTGTCTTCCCCTCTAAAGCTCAAGAACACTTCGCAATAATTTCCTTTTGGCCTTTTGGTTCCGCCTTCATAATCACCTACTTGTGGAGAGGTCGATGAGGAAGACTCCCCATAGATTGGATCTTCTGAATGGGTGGGCTCTTTTCTTTTCATCTCGAGAGGACTGTGAAAGAGATTGATGGAGGAGGAAACAGAGGAGAGAAATATGGAATCCCGGATCTGGTAAAAGCAGAAATGTCTCTCCGGACTCAAAGTTGGAGCTACACTCAAACAAAAATAGAAACTCTCAGACAACTCATCAGAAGAAAATGGAGGAATCAAAGCAGGAAACAGAGAAGGGCAAGGAGTCGTCGACTAAGCGAGGAGTGCTCAAACAACACAATTCACCTAAGGCTATGATCTCCCCCAATCCTCAGTCTTCGACGTTGGATTCCCTACACACCACACAACACTTTCTACCGTGCGCGCTTTGAACAAGGCTTAGTTCTTGCCATCCACTGGTCCAAGACTCTTCACGCTAACTGAACCGCTGTGAGGCATGCCGCAGAAAGAACAGTCATTGCACTCGAAATTTCGGCAGCATCATGCGGAAGGTGTGTGGAACCCGACGAGCAAATACTTACATGCGCACATGCAATCACGCGCAACACTCACGCTCCGAGTTTAATGAAAGAAAATAGAAAAGAGAACTAACGAGCTATACTTTCATGCCCCTACTGGGATCTCCACCGATGCTCAGCATTATATGAGGAAGGCGCATGCCATGTGCTTTCATTGAGATCTGAGATCCAGCCACCACTGTCGTGACTTGGCTGGCCTTTTCTATTAATAAACAAAATAGAAAAGAAAACCAACTAGCAGTGCTCCATGCTCCTCGTGCTAACAAGAGATTCCGTTTATCCCCGAGGATTTTGTTAATAGAAATGTCTGGGGGACGCGTGAGTTTGTTCCGTCCACGATCAAACTATTATTTATTTCTCAAAAGAGATTGGTCTAGGAAAATAACTCTCCAAATAAATCCCTTCAGAAACAATTTTCTCGAACTACATTTCTCCATGCCACATCACGCCTACAGATTATCTAGTCATTATCCCACACGTAAATCACTTTTTATCTCTCTCCTTAAATTTATTTAACATTTTATGTGAACTTTATTTTGGGTACCGCGTATATAAATTCTCGGCGGATGATTCTCCACAATCGAATAAATATTTGGTGATACTTTTTTCAGGAAAATTATCCAAAAAGTTATAAACATGTTATACGTAGGCCAATTCAACCCTCAATCTTTCAATTGTGTCAATTAAATTATGAATCTTTTGACAACTTGTCAATTTAGTTCTAAACTTTTTAACTATCCTAATTTTGTCCTAAACATTGTGATAATTTGCAAGTTTATGTGGATTGGTGATATGCAGTGTGTGTTTGGCCGTGAGATGTGGTGGTGTGATAGTGCATTCGCGTATTGTATTCGCGTGCCAAGAATGTGTGATTGGGTGGCATGTTCGTGTGACGAGAATGTGAAATTGTGAAATGTGTGTGAGGTGTGCGTGTTTGGCAGTGTGTAGGTGTGGCCGTGTGACAAATGTGGTTTGAGTGGAACGAAGGTACTGGAATGTATGATTGGTTTGAAAAGTGAGACCCTGAGGCGTGTACGTTTACGGGGTGAGGTCCGTCCTGAGGCGTGTACGTTTACGCGGGACGATGCCGTCCCTGACGAGGTGACGATGCCCGGCCCGACGGGGTGACGATGCCTGACGTGGTCAGAAGACCGTTGGCCTGATGCGTTTTACGCGGGCGCGGTAGAAGGAAAGTGTGTGTAGGATTCCGTCCTGAGGCATGTACGTTTACGCGGGACGATGCCGTCCCTGACGAGGTGACGATGCCCGGCCCGACGGGGTGTCGATGCCTGACGAGGTCAGAAGACCGTTGGCCTGATGCGTTTTACGCGGGCGCGGTAGTGGTGGAAAGGTTGAGAATGAGCGAGAATTGGCTTGAGGTGCGAGGTTTGAGAAAGTGACGCGTGGTGTGAGTTGGTGTGCGAGTGTGTTTGTATCGCGTAATGCAGTGCGCGATTATGGGATAAAATCTGCTAGGCATGGTATGGGACGTGCCCAAGTAGGTTTTGCTTTATAATCGAGGCACGCGCGCGGCTGTGATGTACTGCTGTGGTATGATTGGCGTGTGTATTGATATGTGGAAAGTATGTGATGGCATGTGTGCAAGAATTGTATGTTGGGATTGTGGGCTAACGGGCATGGTGCGTATGCAGAGAGTCCAGGTATGTGTGAATGTTTGATTGCTGGTTGTGTGGTTGTTTGGTTGCGCGTTTGGATGTGTCTGGAATTACGTGATAGCCTAGATGGGGCTTAGGTTGTGTCTTATTGAGATGTGATCTCATGGTTGTTTCAACCAAACCATTTCAGAGCCCCCGCCTGAATGTCGAGGTTGAGGTCGACTCGGAGTCGTCTGGTGAGCAGACAGCTGCGGAGGATTCAAGTGGTGATGCCAAGGACAGTGAGTTAGAGTGGACGCCTTCGAGAGGGCGTAGGGGATAGTTCTGGGAGGACGATGCGCCCCATTTTTGGATAGTGCTGACCTAGAGAGCTGATCTTGATAATTTGGTGGTTTTGAATTTATAGTTCGGTGTGCTTATAAATTATTTTGTGGTTTGTATTGGCGGATGATGTAAATGTTTGGAAGTGTAATATATGCTTGGTGGTTTGTCGATTTGTTCCTTCCTGGTGTTCTCCAATTTTATTGTCCGGGATTTTTGATTGCTTCCGCCGAGATTTAACTCTGATGTTTGGGTTGGGTCGGCGACGTTCCTGGGACGTCGCAACAAATTCGACCGCAGCAGGGGATGTCGCGAGCTCGATGGGGATTCGGGGCGTGACATTTTAAGTTTCTTGATGAACCACGCTCTCTCAATTTCGACATATATTTGCAGAATGAAACTAGCTATAGGAACCAAGAAACCAAAACGGATTGCTCATGAACATAAGCTGCAATAGAATTTGATTTCACATATTCACCTCCAGCAGCGACAGAGTTAAGTGTCCTAATAACCTCTATCTTGGTCTCAAGATCAGGACTCCAGTCAATATATTGCATAGCCTGCTGCAACATTGCTGTCATAGCCTGTTGATAAGAAAATAGCAATAGCAATGCATATGTCACCATCCAATCAAGTCATGACTCGATTGTGTCTAGCGCACAATTACAACTTTGAGTTGAACATTTGATTAGAAAATTATTCATTCTAGAAAGAAAATACAGTTCAAAAAGGAACCGAAAGGGGTAATAGCAAGGTGCAATACAACTACAGCTATCTATATCAAGAGTATCCAAGCCAATTGAAAATACTTGCAACCAGCATGAGCACTATTATCCCCATATAAAGCATATCATGAAATGTATCCTAAACTTGACTTGAGAAAAGAGTCTTGTGATTCATACATTTGTAGGAGAACTAGAAGATGTGAAATTTGGGCATACATGGGGAAGAATCCAGAAACACAAGGCGAGAAACTGAAGAGGATTCCCCAATACTAGATTCTAGAGCACAAGCACCAGGCCTGGATTCTTGCATCTCTAGAGATTGCACAGAGCCAATACCCATATAGATATGCCAACATACACTCGTTAGATGGCATGTTACAACTACACACAACAACAGTTCAAGATAATTGAAATCCTAAACCAAATCTACTAACAAGGATTAGCATTTTGAATCACCCCTCTAGCACCCAATCTCAATTTTTTTTCTCCCTGGTTTCTTTTTTATGTAAAAGGTATAATAAGTAAGGCATCAAGGAAATACCTGTCCATCTAAAACAAAAAGAATCCATCCCTATACAAGAAAATTAAAATCGTAAACCAAATCTACTAACCAGAAATAAAATCAAAGAGGAGCACCAACTACTGACTTCACTAAACCCTGAAGAGATGATGAAACAAACTAAAACTACTTAACTTAAACAATGTGCCTTTTCTTAACTTAAACAATCTGCCTTTTCCCTTTGTCATTCTAGACTAAGGATATCTATCTTTCAATCCTTCACTCACATATGTTTACATCAATTCCAAAGGGAGGGTCCATCTTGTAAAAATACAAGTTCAAAGTATTTTGTTAGTAACTGCCTACTAGATACTAGTAGATAGTACCTCAATGTCCAGCTTATCCTCATAGCTTTGTGCATTATTTTCCTACTCAGTTGAAAGAGTTATTTCTCTGCTTTGTTAATGAGAACTTCCAATTAGTGTTCTTGATAGGATGCAACATCGGAAGATCTTACGTTGACTTGATAGATTAGGGAGATATTTACCGATAACTAATCTTAGTCGAATGTTTCCTTTAAGTTACCAAGTAATCTTTCAACAATTTCTACCTATTGAGTATGTTGTTTCCTCCTTTTTTTTTTGCTTTTGAGAGCAAGCGACAACACTAGGGGTTATGGTGGATACTCACTTTGTGCTCCTTTGGTGACGAAGACTCATTTATATTGATCAATTTCGCTTCATAAAGTAAATACAAGTACCCTGCTAGAAAGGATATCCCAGGCTAACTTTTTGCTTTTTACCCATTCTTTGTTTACACAGGAGCACCATTAAACTTCCACAGAAATATAAACCCCAATCTTCATTCATTAAAGAGTTCCAAAAGCACATCTTTTAAGCAATTCTACCAGATCTTGCCGACTTGAGTAATTTATTACCCGGGGAAAGTTAACTTCAATAATTAGCGCAAAAGGAGGTGGCAGACCCTAAAAAAAATCATTTGCAAGATAGTGCATCCGCTAAGTCAACAATGTCACACATATTCCATAATCATGGCACTAAACCAAGAAGTTTAGGTAAAAGCACTGAGAATCCCCTTATATAGTTGCCCAATACCATCACCTAGGACTAATACGTAAGCCAGCAGTTGACTAGCTAATTACTTGCCGCAAGGCTCAACCCAGCAAACTAGCAACTCGAAAAGCGGGATCCAAATTTCACAACAAAAGAGAGAGAGGCTGAGCACATAGCGATTAGCAGATTACACATCAAGTGTTCGACAAGATTTCTCACCAACAGAATGCTCATGCCAGCCTGCGTGCATCCTAGGCACAACCTAAAACACAATGAAAATAAACCTATAGACAATAAATTTGATTGCCAAAACCTAACACACGGGCCTCACACCACCATCAACCCAAACCCGCCCTCGCCCCTCAGAGTCTAGTCTAGGTGCTCAACCTCCGCAACATCGGGAGTCACGATCTTCTCCATGATCAGCTGCGCAACCCTGTCACCGACCTTCACTTCAAAGTTGACGTCCGAGAGGTTGAACAGGATTACCCCAACCGGGCCTCTGTAGTACGCATTGATCATGCCTGCACCAATGTCGATCGAATGCTTCCATGCCAAACCTGATCCCGGCGCTGAAGCAACAAATGTAAAGCGATTTGATTCCGCCCTCATTGATTATCCAGAACAAGGATTGAAAGAATGTTTTGCGGTAAGAAGTTGCAATTTACCAATTTGTGCGTATGTTCCTTAGGGCATTGTGATGCTCAGATCAGTAGGGACGAGCGCTTATCCTCTCCCCGACACTTCCGTCTCAGCCGCAATGTTTTTTATCCACAAACAAAGAAACCCACCTTCAGAAACCATCGCAAGTTCTCAACAAGGACCGAACTCGAGATTCTACGGAAAGTAAAATTTGTGGTCACGTTTTTTGCCTGGAAAGATCGTAGCCCACGTGGAGAGAGGGGACGCTTGCGAAGGCAAGACGGCCTTCCAGGACGGCTTCTTCCACAGTCAAAAGTTGTCGTGACCACAACTTTTTCCAATCTTTTCGGTTTCCATAAAGAAAATGAAGGAGCTGGAAATCTATAGGACAAGGTCCATCCCATATCAGATATCAACTTGGAGAAAAATAACGTCCTTTGAGAAAATAAAAAATGCAATTATCTTATTGAAATGAAGCTCCCTAGAAATAGGTGCCCATTTCAGATGTGAAATGACATGGAAAAGTAGCATTCATTAAACCTTTACTCTTTAGAGAGCTAATGTTATCCCCGCTGTTCGAAAAACACAAGCATCAGCAATATTTGTAATGCGAAACACAATTCTGTAACAAGGTGCTTATTTCTGTCCAAATGAGTGCACATCTCGTGCTGATACCAGTTCCAATGGTACAAGTTCGGGACCCCGAAAGCCCACAAATCTTCAATTAAAAGGGGGGTGGGGTTGGGGGCGAAAGAGGAAAGAAGAAAGATGAAAAGACCAAACTAAATTCCTATACAGAGTGTATTCAGTATATCACTTCAGTCTGAAACAAGCCCGGATCTGGTCCTCCTGCAAAATATGCAATCAAATCTAAGACAGCTACGCCAGAGTTCTATCATGAATATCTCCAGTCCCCACTTCAGACCACAATGTGAAACAGCATTCTTCGGGGGGAGAGAGAGAGATGCTCGAGGGGAGACAGATCATTTATTCAACTAAAAACATCTTCAACCTCTCAAAGCAGCCTCATGAACCGTGGTTTCCTTGGGGATTTGGTGACAACTTTTCTCGACAAGGTCAAGCAGCTTTTCCAAATTTGTTGCTCCTGAGTTAAAAATCTCATTGCTGTCCTTTGTCGTCTGGAAACTGACAATTCCTATTGGCCAGTCTATCTTTGCCACCAGGGACTTGGAAAAAACCATTAAGGAGAGATGCTTCTCAGCTTCCTAAAATGGTAATATAGAAGAGGTCATGCTGATAGAATATCAAACGAGCTTGCATAATTATCATTATATGGTCTATCTATCAAATGATAGTGTTGATTTAACAAATTGAGGCATGTGATTGATTAAAGCTCTCAACAACAGCAGTAAGAGAATCCAAAAACAGAGCTATTTTCCATGAGTGATTCAATCAATTGTAACACAGGAAATGGTGAGTGTTAATACTAGCAGAAAAGCTTGCTCAGCTATATCTAGCAATATGGCAGAGCTCCTCCCACCCTTCTAAAGCGCATTAGAATTTCAGGCTCCATGGCACAAGAAATGGTTTCACAATGCCAGACAACGACACTTACAGCTACAATAAGTTTATGAGCAGAAGTTGACTAAGCCAAGAGTACAAAACAAAACTATGAAGACAACATTCTCAAATCCATGACAAGCCTTTGGCTTTCAATGCACCAAAAGCTCTTTTACACATATTTTGGAACTTGTATCCAAGTCCAGCAACCATGCCCCAATCAGGGATCACAGGCAGAGAGGCTGCTCAGGGTAAAATGAGGGGTCTAGGCAATCATTCATAAAGAGTCACATTGATAAAAAAACATAAACAAAAGTTCCATATAATCAGACCTGGATACTGAGGCATAACAGCTCTGCAAGTCTCTTTAAGGTAATCCTTAAGCAATACTTCAAACGGCACTAATATTCTGCAGAAAATAGAGTGAGTCACATCTGAATGATGATCCAATGAAAAGAAGAAAAATGACAAGTTCTGTAATTACATGTTCGATGATTCTCCGAAGAGGCTCCTAGCTAAAGGTAGCTTGTATTGCCCAAGAGAAGCCAAAATTCTTCTGTTGACTATGATTGGGCCCTGTCTAAGATTTTCTGCCGCCTTCTTAACATGTCCATCTCCTAGCATGTTTTCTCATTCTCAAATTTCATCTTTGAAAGTACTTTAAAGAGGAGTCCATTGGATGACCTCCACCGCGACCAATTGTTTCAGCAGCAACCTGCGTTAAAATATCAAAGGCATGGTTAATCGAATTCTATGGCACATTATTGAGATATTGCAAGATGTACAACCAATTACCAAGAACAATTCAAAGATGGTACCTGAATTGGGGAATTTCTGAGAGATGTTTATCCTCTAAAGTGGCATTAAGAAGGCTTGACCGCATAGGTTCATGTGCCTTAGAACCTGCATTCAATTAAATCACAGAATGAACAGCTGTGCCTTGAAAAACTCAGTGAAGACTTGACAAGGAAAGAGCTTCAACGGTATCCACTGCTCTGGGTTGCCCTTCACTGATGGAATCTCATATATTGCCTTATAGTATCGACAAATCTCAAGGTAGTCATTGTTATGTGAGTAATACCTACATCGTTAACCACATAAATGCGAGGTATACTAAGATGTGAGTTCAAATCCATCAAGTACATCTGGAACGTCACAGTTTGCGATAAAGCTAGAAAGGAAGAAGAGTATGTGCCATATATATAGAGCCATAAAGTTTCATTGTACTTGATTGGCAAAAACAAATTAGCTAAAAGATAGTAGACACAACATCAGAAAAAGCAAAACACCAATTTACCGTATCATGAATCATAGTATATCCGTTTCAACTCCAGAAGAGACGGAATATCAGCTGGCGCTTGTTCCACAACGTTTTCACCTTCTTTAGGCTTTTTCTTCCCTTTAGAAGGATCTGCATCAAACACTCAGGGGCTGATCTTCCTGGAAAAGATATGTGCACAGACATAATCCTGGCAATCTATGCACAGACGAACCTGCAAAATCCATCGATCAGAAAACCAATCATAGTAATAGTGCATAAACGGCTAAAAGCAATACAAAAACCCGTACTTGTTAAAAAATCAAGGCAATCTTCTCTGTCTTTGCCGTTGCTCCAAAACTTTCTACCTGCACTTCAAACCCATCACAGGAATGTTGGACAAGGAAAAACCAATTACATGACAACAGAAGTCAAATTCAAGTTACCCCGATTTCTTGCATCAAATCAGTAGCTTCTGCTATAAGACCCTGTTCTTCCTTTATTTTTGCAAGTTTCTTGATCAACCTCAATTTCGACATATATCTGGCATGACAAAACTAGCTATAGAAACCACGAAACAAAAATAGATTGCCAATGAATATAAGCTGAAATAGAGTTTGATTAAACATATTCACCTTCCCAGCAGCGACAGAGTTAAGTGTCTTAATAAGCCCTATCTTGGTCTCAAGATCAGTTGTCTGGTCAACATATTGCATAGCCTGCTGCACCATTGCTATCACAGCCTGTTGATAAGAAAACAGCAACATGTTGGTCACCATCCAATCGAGTGAATGACTTTATCACATCTAGATCACAATTAAAACTTTGATTTGAACTATTCGATTAATAGCATGGAAAATTTGTCACTCTAGAATGAAAATATGGTCAACAAAGGAACAAAAAGGGACAATAGCAAGGTGCAATACAATTACATGTATCTCTATGAAGAGGATCCCTGCCAATTGAAAACTTGAAAACAGGACAAGCACTATAATATCCCCATAAAGGACGTATCATGAAACGTAACATGAACTAGACATGAAAAAAATGTGATGTGTATCAAACATGAGTAGGAGAACAGGAAGTAAAAATTTGGGTCAATCATGGGAGAGAATCCAGAAACACAAGGTGGGAAACTGACAAGGATTCCACAATACTAGATTCTAGAGGATTCCACCATACTAGATTCTAAAGCACAAGCACCAGACCTGAGATCTTGCATCCCAACAGATTGCCTAGAGCCAATTCCCACGTCGATATGGCAAGCACATTCCCACCTCGATAGTTATACATAGATGGCATGTCACGGCTACATAAAACGACTGTTCATTATCTAATCAGTACACATATGGGAGGCAATCCCTGCAGTATAAAATCTAACCTAAAGGTTGTTAAGATTGATCCTAAATGATTGAAATTGGACCATACTTTGAATCAATGATCATAAGACTACAGAAAATTAAGGTCTAAAATGATAGATTCTTGATCTTTTTTCTGTACTAACACCTGTGTGTTATCTTTGAAAAGAGGGAATGAATCTCAAAAGTAGAAGACAAAAGCAGGAGCATCACCACAGCAGAAGCACATCACTGAAGAAGCTCTCCTACCTCTTAAAGAAAGTTAACTAGAGAAGCATCTGGGGCAAAAGTAAAGAAGAGAATGAAACAATCGCAAAACCAGATGACAGCAGTGAAAACAAGAAGACAGGAGGATGAAAGAAATAAACAGGGTAAAGAGCTATATGCTATGACGTAAAAAAAAATTCCGTCCCCAGCCAGAAGAGATGGTTGCCGCACAAAGTTGTTGGCATTGTGCTGCACTGCTGTTTGTGGAGGCACAGAAGACCTTCCATTACCCCAAGCCAAGCTCTCATGAAGATAGAGCCCACTTCCAACTCCAGCAATAAAAAGTTATTCTTACTCCAGCGAAAGGCTTATGGATTCACCCAAGTCTGTGTAGAAAGTATCTTCAGCGTTGCCACAACCACCAATTAAATCTTCCATTCAATCTAATTCAGGAAGAAGGCAGCACCTCTTTCTCATTTATAACCCCTCAAGGTTCAATCCCCAAAGTTGGCCCTAATTAGCAGGTTTGGCCTTTAGATATTGTTTTAGACTCACAATGGGTCATGGACAATGAGAATTGGGGCCTAATTTCATTTACTATGAGGTTGAGTCCTAATTAAATAGGCAAAGTATGATATTTGGGACTGGGATTAGGAATTCCATTCTACATCTCCAATGATCCTACTCCTGATCCCAACTGGGAATGATTTCAATGGAACCAGCTTCCATCTTTTTAATTGCATCCTACACGGATAGCTTTCCTAAAAACGATTTTCAAGGTAAAAATCTTCTATAGGTATAATTATTAGCCACTAGTCATAATGCTCTGACTAATCTAGAGGAACTTATCAGCATTCAGCATAGCATAACAATGATGATGTACCATCAATAAAGAGTGAAAATTCCATCAGCTTATCACCCAAAAATCAGAGATGAAAAGGCAAATACTTGGACATAGGTTAACCTCGACGACCCCATTCCCTCCTAACAAGGGAGTGTACGACACTTCTTTTATTACATGAATGTTTGGGAGCAACTAAATACAGGAAAAACAACTTAACATGTATGAATATCCAAGTATCAGTGTCATCAAATAACTTTGACTCCTTTAAATCGTTTGAAGAGGAAGGCAAAGAGTGTTTTGAGCTAGGAAGACAAAAGTTCATGCCCCAAGAACTAGGTAGACGACTGAACACAATAATCTTGCCTCCTGCTTTTTTAATATTCCTTTCACCACCAGCAAACATAACACATGCTGTGTTCATGCTAGGGAGAACAGTTATTGGAATGGAGAGGTGCAACCCATACTCATAATTCATCTTTAATCGATTGTACATTAGTTTGTCAGTGGGTGGACAAACGCCAATCCCTGAATTAGTATTATTATGAATTACTCCTCTGGCACCCAATCTCAATTTCTTTTCTCCCCGGTTTCTTTGTTACATAAAAGGTATATTAAGCAAGGCACCAAGGAAATACCTATCCATCTAAAACAAAGAGAATCTATCCCTATACTACTGACTTCACTAAACCCTGAAAAAGACGATGAAACAAAAGATAAAACTACTTAACCTAAAAATTGTGCCTTTTCTCTTTGTTCATCACACACGTTTTACTTCAATTCCAAAGGTATATTCTTCACCAGGTAACCTCTCGACAACTTCTACCTATTGAGTTTGCTGTCTCCTCCAACGCCAAATGGTTATGGCGGAAACTCAGATTGTTGCTACTGAGGTGATGAAGGCTCGCCCGATATCAATCAATTTTCACTTCATAAGTAAGTGCAAATTCAAGAGGCCTGCCAGAAAAGATATCACCAGGGCTAATCCCTTTGCTTTTTGGACATATTTTACTTTTGTATACATACATAACACAGGCGCAACCATCAGACTTCCACAGGAACATCATCGAACCCCAACCTTTCCTTCATTAGAGGAAAAAGAAGAAGGAGAAGAAGAAGTAAACAGGCAGGCGAATCAAGCATCAGAAATTGGACAATTGCCAGTAAAAGGACGATTCGATCAAAAGGAAAAGGACTAACCATCTGGATCCGCTCCTAGAAATCGGAAGGCGAGCCTTCAGAAATTTGGCAAAATGGTCTGCGAGCACCATCGATTTGGAAGCCCCCCTCCTTGGGGGAAGGAAAAACAGGAGAGAGAAAGCGCGCCACTCGGTGAAACCTCCCTCGCCAAAACTTGTCCTCTTCTGTTTGTTTCTCTTCTTCGAGCGCACTGATGAGAGAGAAAACGAAACGGTTAAGTAAACAAAAAGTTGAGGGGAATAAAAAAAAGAGAAAAGAGTAAGAGAAAAGAAAGAAAGAATAAATGAGGGAATGGGAAGAGAAAATGGGGAGGAGATCCGAAACACCTTCTTCTGTCTGTGATCCTCCCCCTCACTGGCCCAGACGACCTCCGACCCCCGACCTCCACTTCAGCGGATCCCCGTCGCCGATGAACTTAAACGCAACAGGTCCGGTGATTCTCTAAGAGACGGGCAGTCATCAATACCAAAATATTGCATGGGTCCTAATCCCTCGAGCCCTCGAATTTCAACTAAATTTTCGCAATCTGTTAAAAAAAAAATGTGCAGCTTCTTTAAGTTCGAAAGGTCCACTGATCTAAGGGAAGAGCACCCTCTAATTTCCAAAGCTCTCAAGGATTCTGATCCATCAAGGCCTTGAATTTCAGTTACACTCTTGCAATTCCAAACCCAAAGGGTTCTCAGATATTTCAAACTTGAAAAGTCTAGCAATCGTCCGACTGACGTGCACTTAAAGATGTCCGACACTTGTGAGGATTTTGATCCATCAAGGCCTTGGATTTCAATTGAATTCACACAACTTGCTGCGGCGTTTGTTCCCTGCAGAATCTTTGAATTGGAAAGATCTAGCGATCCATCAAGCTGAGATGCCTCTGGGCTCATCAACTTCGAAGAATCTTCAATCCCATCAACCCTAGATATCTTCGGGCATTGCCCTGCATGTAAGTTGGATAGGCAATGTGAACCTTCCACGCTGATGACTTCTGTGAGATCAAAGCACCCGCAGAGATGCAAATATGATAAGTGCTTCAAGTTTGGCAAATTCGTGAATGCTTTCAATTTTGTGCAACCTTTAATAGCAAGCTCCGATAGTCCAATGGGAAGCTCTGGGACACGTTCAAGCCAAGGGCAATCATAAAAATTGAGTTTCTTGAGATGGGTTAGCTGGGAAAGATGGGGCAACGACAGCCTCTGGCAAGTGATAGTTAGAGCTGTTAAGCAAGAGGGTAGTTCTGGTAATTCTTGGAGCTTTCGACAACGTCCAACGCTGAGCTCTTGGAGAGAAGAGAGCTTAGAAATGCTTTCTGGCAAGCCCGAAATGCCTGATTCATCTAAAGAAAGCTTCTCTAGCGAAACCAATTCGCATATATTGCTAGGTAGTTGTTCTAGTTTTTCGCATTCTCTAGCTTCCAACTTTTGGAGTTTTGCCAACTTCCCGATGACATCAGGCAATTCTGTTATGTCAGTTCCACTAATTTTCAAGATCCTCAAATTTGGCATATTTCCAATGCCTTTAGGTAATTTCGTAATCGATGTGCATTTTAAGTTCAGCTCAATCAATGATGCCAATTTTTCAATCGAATCAGGGATCTCTGTCAATGAGGAGCAGTAACCTAAGGACAAGCTTTGCAGAGATGCTAGATCGCCAATGGAGCTGGGTATGCGGGCTACCAGTGTACACCTAGTGGCATACAAAGTCTTGAGGTTCTTCATGGAACCAATGAATTCAGGTAATTCTTCAATTGCTGAACAAGATAAGTCCAATAAAGTTAACGAGACAAGGGATCCCATAGATTTAGGAAGTTGAGAAAGTCGTTTACAACTTCCAGCATGTAGAGTCTCCAGCTTCATCAAACAACCTTTCAAAATAGGAATCTCTTGTATATCGGTGTTATTTATGCGAAGCTCCCTCAATTTTACCATTCTACCTATTCCTATTGGTAGCTGCTTGAGTCTTTTACAATAAGAGACATCCAAGGAAATGACGGTCTCGATGTCCCCAATAGAAGGATGAATCTCTTTCAGATTCCCACAATTTGCAAGAATCAAAATCTCCAAAGTTTCGAAAGCAGACAAGTCGGGAGTTCTTCTCAAATATTGACAATTCTCAAGGTTGAGAACTTTGAGTTCGGTTGCCATCTAGAACAAAGAAAGGATACCTTAGTGTGAATGGACCCTTGCAGCCTGTGATTTTTCACTACTCCTTATGTTTTTGACTTTTTAGAATTCCTCAAAAAATACCCATGCTCCTGGACTATTTCACAGTTGTCTTATTTAATTTTAAATGTCTTTTTTAGTAGTGTTTGGCAACGCCAACATATAAATGTTTTTTAAGAATATCAATTGCAAAAGAATTTTGGGAATGTACAAGTGCTGAGTGCATTTATTTTCGTATAACATTTCAAAGGGAATATTTATTGATTTGACAAAAGCAACTTTTATTATCCAAAAGCAGATGACAGATTCAAATGGGAGAGAGATGCAGTCATTGGGCGCCATGTTTTCCTTCAATAGTATGAAATAAAAGAGAAACGGGCTAGTTTAATTATGAAAATCAATTTTCAAATGTTATATGTACAAGGAAAAAAAATGTTTTATTGAAAATACTTCAATGCCTTATTTACATCTTACCTTGAGTGGAACCCATCCTCCCCAGTCCTCCGAAATTGCACTGTTAAACAGATTGAGTACAACTAATTTCTTCGGATGAAAGTTGGCCGCAGTAAAATCCGAGGGACAACCCGCCCATTGAAGCCATCTTAATTTAGGAAGTAAGCTTTGGAAATCTCCGGTGAAATTCGCACCATCCGCTAGAAGGAACCTCAAATTGGTCATTTCTTGAAATTGTTCAGCTATGTATCTTCTTCCTATACCACATTTGCCAAGAGAAAGTGCCTCAATCTTTCTAGTGCCCTGCAACTTGGAAACATTGTGGACCATAAGTTTTAAATGATGAGATGAGATCAACTAATGTAAAATAAAATGCCCCGATTTCAATTTGCTATCATACTATCATGGTGTAGGCTTCTCCCTTTAAATTTTGTGAAATGACATGTTGTGATTGCATACTATTTATCTAATCTATGTATAGATGAGAAGCTCAAGCGGTTGTTCCCAAAGTTTTCCTCTTCCAATTATGCCCTTCGCAATTTGCACATTGTGAATTCCCAAAATTTGCATCCATTTGCAATTACAATAGCAGGCCTCTCTTTATGGATACAGTAATTCAAATATATCTATGAAAATTCCTGCCATTTATATGTGAAATAACACTACATTTACTCCTATCCTATATATGTGAACCGATACGACTCAAACGGTCCAAATACATCTATCAAACTTGCCATCAAAGCATGTATCAAAATTAAAGAATCCCAATTGTAGAATACCCCCACTCTTTCTAGTATACTTCATTTGCAAGTCTAAATATCAAAATGAAAACGAGAATGTCATTGCAAAAGGTACACGTGTTTTACGTTCCTTTCTTATTATGTGTTTCTTCGCTGAGGGTTTTGCATTGTACATGGAAGGAAAATTGATAATATCGAATGTTCTATACATGATTCTTACTTTCTTTTTGTTAAATATGTCTTGAATTTTATGTTCTCGGTCCGGTTCAACACCCGATCCGACATATTTTTGTGCGACCCGAAAATTGAGATTTAGTTTGCGACGCGGAGAGTTGAGCCGATAGGCCTAACTCGTAGTAAGTGAACAAATCTCTATGGCGATCCGCTCAAGCTGGAGCAAGCGAACCAATGTCTCGGGGGGGTTCGGGGGCGTAGCCCCTGAGGAAAAATTTCGGGAGCTCTATTTATACTGCGGCTAGGTTTTCTCATTGATGTAGAGAATTTTATTTTCAGAGAGTTTTGTAAGCCGTGAGCTTTTGTCGTTGTTTCGACTTCTGAAAACTGTACTCTATTTGATTATAGTGGAATCTTGTCTTGCCTCGCCCGTGGACGTAGATCACGTTGTGATCGAACCACGTAAATCCTCGTGTTCTGTGTTTGCTTTTCCGCGTTTGCTACAACAAACTGGTATCAAAGCTGCGTCCGATTCTAGGGTTCGAGCAAGATGGCATCTTTGAAGTTTCAGATCTCATCTTTTGACGGACAGAACAATTTTGGATTATGGAGAATAAAGATGAAGGCTTTATTGAGGCGAGAGGGTACGGTTAGGGCGCTGGACGGAAAATATCCAGACGATATGACCTCGGCTGAGATTGAAGAGATGGACGAGAAGGCACATAGCGCGATCTAGTTGTCTCTAGATGACAAGGTTTTGCGAGAAGTCGCAGATGAAGAAACAGCGGCCGGTCTCTGGAAGAAACTGGAAAGTCTCTATATGAAGAAATCTCTAACATCGAGACTTTATTTGAAGCAGCGTCTTTATACCCTAAAGATGTGCGAAGGTACGTCTGTTCAGGAACACTTAGATGAGTTTAATAAAATTGTTCTGGATATGAAAAATTTAGATATTAAACTCGAGGATGAAGATCATGCTTTGATCATGTTATGTTCACTGCCTGCCTCATACGAAAATTTTGTAAACTCGATGCTTTATGGACGTGAATCCATAACTTTGGAGGACGTCAAAGCATCTTTGAATTCTGCAGAACTGAGAACAAAATTGAATGGGAATACCAGTGAAAATAAAGCAGATGGTTTGTTTGTGAGAGGCAGGACCAAGAGCAGGGATAAAGCTTTCCGAGGGAAATCTGTTGGCTGTTCAAAATCTAAGCCACCTGGAGACAAGATGAACGTTGAGTGCTGCTATTGTCATAAAAAGGAACATTACAAGTCAGATTGTCCTTCACTCAAGAAAAAGGATAAGCAGCATAGTCAAAAACAAGATTCGGCGAATGTTGCAAACGAAAATGAGGCTAATGCGTCAGATAGTGTTCTTACGGCATGCTCTGCTGTTAATTTGTCCAATGATGTTTGGATAATGGATTCGGGAGCATCATATCACATGTGCCCAAACAGGGAATGGTTCACCACATACGAGCCATTGAATGGTGGATCAGTCTTGATGGGGAATGATGCTATATGCAAAGTCGTGGGTATTGGTACTATTCGGATTAAGTGCCACAACAAAGCAGTAAGAACCTTAACTGAAGTAAGACATATACCAGACTTGAAGAGAAACCTTATCTCGTTGAGCAGTTTGGATTCCATTGGGTGTGTGTACTCAGGTGGAGGTGGAGTTCTCAAAGTTACAAAAGGCAATCTGGTTGTGATGAAAGGAAGCAAGGTGAATCACTTATATCATTTGCAGGGTAGCACAGTTATGGGTCCTTCGATTGGCACAAGCAATTCCGTTTCTGATAATGATAGAACGAAATTGTGGCACATGCGTTTGGGCCACATGAGTGAGCGTGGCATGTCAGTTTTGAGTAAACGTGGTTTACTTTGTGGGGAGCAGACGACCTCGCTAGATTTCTGTGAGCATTGTGTTCTTGGCAAGCAATGCAGAGTCAGATTCAGTACAGGGACGCATTCGACAAAGAGCACACTCGACTATATCCATTCCGATTTATGGGGACTAGCACAGGTTCCATCTAAGGGTGGAGCTCTTTACTTTGTGACGTTCATTGACGATTATTCCAGGAAGGTTTGGGTTTACTTTCTGAAAAGAAAAAGTGATGTGTTTGAAACCTTCAAGAAGTGGAAAGCTCTTGTTGAGAATCGACACGGGGAAGAAGATCAAACGTCTTAGGACCGATAATGGTCTTGAGTTACGTGGTGGCGATTTTAATGAATTACGTGCAGATGCGGTATTGTTCGACACCGTACAGTTAGACACACTCCACAGCAGAATGGAGTGGCAGAACGTATGAACAGAACTCTATTAGAGAGAGCAAGATGCATGCTCTCTAATGCTGGCATGGAAAAGGATTTTTGGGCTGAAGCTGTTAACACGGCTTGTTATCTGGTTAATCGCTCTCCTTCAACAGCAATAGAATGTAAGACTCCTTTTGAGATGTGGTCAAGTAAGCCTTGTGATTACTCTAATCTAAAGGTTTTTGGATGGTAAGTTAGAACCTAGAGCAAAGAAATGTATTTTTGTTGGGTATGCTGATGGGGTGAAAGGTCATCGTTTATGGTGCCAGGAACCTAACTCACCTAAGTTCATTATTAGTAGGGATGTTACATTTAATGAAATGCATATGCTTGATCAAAGGAAAGTTGCTGATGAGTTTGCAGGAAAACATGAGAGTGATATGAATGAGGTGGAGGTTCAGGTGTTTTGAACGAGCAAAATGCTCCTGTTGATTCAAGTTCAAATGAGGAAGCTGTAGATGAGGTGGAGCAGCCATACTCTATTGCTACTGGCAGAGAAAGGAGGCAGACTCGGCCTCCTCAGAAATATGGGTTCTCTGATCTGGTGGCTGATGCTCTTACGACAGCAGAAGATATGGGTATTCAGGAACCTTCTACCTATACAGAAGCTGTTACTTGCACAGAATCAGAGAAATGGGCTATTGCTATGGTTGAGGAACTTGAATCACTTCACAAGAACCAGACTTGGGACTTGGTGCAGTTGCCTTAGGGAAAAAGAGCCATCGGGTGTAAATGGGTCTTCAAGAAAAAGGAAGGAATTCCAGGTGTTGAAAATGCTAGATGCAAGGCTCGGCTCGTAGCTAAAGGCTACAACAAGAAGGAGGGAATTGATTATGACGAAGTTTTCTCCCCTGTGGTAAAACACACTTCCATTCGTGTGTTGCTGGCTATAGTTGATCAATTTGACTTAGAGCTTGAGCAACTTGACGTGAAGACTGCTTTTCTGCATGGCGAGCTTGAGGAAACTATTTATATGGCCCAGCCCGAGGGCTATTATGTAGAAGGCAAGGAAGATCATGTTTGTAAATTGAAGAAATCCTTGTATGGTCTGAAGCAGTCACCAAGACAGTGATATAAGAGATTCGACAGCTTTATGATAGGGAGCGGTTATCACAGGAGCAACTATGATAGTTGTGTCTACTTCAGGAAGGGTTCAGATGGATCCTTTGTCTATCTTCTCTTATACGTGGATGACATGCTCATTGCTGCAAAGAACATGTCAGAAGTGTTGATCTTGAAGAAACGGCTCAGTGAGGAGTTCGAGATGAAGAATCTGGGTCCTGCTAAGAAGATCTTAGGAATGGAGATTCAGAGGGACAGGAAAGGAGGGAAGTTATATCTCTCGCAGAGGAGTTATATTGAGAAGGTACTTGAGAGGTTTGGCATGCAAAACGCTAAGCCCGTGAGTACACCGTTGGCATCCCATTTTAGACTTTCAGCTCTACATTCACCTCAATCAGAGGTCGAGGAGGCTGCGATGTCTCGTGTCCCATACTCCAGTGCAGTCGGTAGCATTATGTATGCTATGGTATGTACTCGTCCAGACATTGCGCAGGCAGTTAGTGTGGTTAGTAGATATATGGCGCATCCTGGAAAGGCCCATTGGCAGGCAGTGAAATGGATACTTAGGTATCTTAGAGGCTCCGCAGAGTTGGGCCTAGTGTTTGATAGAAACAGTTCCAACGATACCTCAATCGTGGGATTTGTGGATTCCGATTATGCAGGTGATCTCGATAAGAGGAGATCTTTAACTGGCTATCTTTTCACACTATCTAGTTCGGCTATTAGTTGGAGGTCAACTTTACGGTCGACAGTTACTTTGTCTACTATAGAGGCAGAGTATATGGCAGCAGCAGCAGCAGCAGCAGAAGCAGTGAAAGAAGGTATTTGGTTAAGGAATCTTGTTTAGGAACTTGGGATCCAGCAGGAAGACAATTCGGTTGTTTTGTGACAATCAGAGTGCTTTATACTTGATTAGAAATCAAGCATATCATGAGAGGACTAAGCACATCGATGTCAGGTATCACTTTATTCGAGAGGCAGTTGCTGAGAGAAATATGACGGTAAAGAAAATTGGTACAATGACAATCCTGCCGATATGTTGACTAAGTTAGCCTCGCCAACAAGTTTAAGCATTGCTTGAACTTGATTGGCATGCTCGATTGAGTTTGCCCCTTCTGGGGCTTTGGTGGAGAGGTAAATGACAGTTCTACATTTGTTTTTTGAAGTGGATATGTTTTTTCGTTGCAGCCCTTGTTTCCTACACCGAGTTAGCTCACGTAGGCTTAAGGATGCCGAGAGAATGTGTTCGGCTTCTTGACTATTTTATTTTGGGAAATTCAAGCCAAGGTGGAGATTTGTTAAATATGCCTTGAATTTTATGTTCTCGGTTCGGTTCAACACCCGACTCGACATATTTTTGTGCGACCCGAAAATTGAGATTTAATTCGCGACGTGGAGAGTTGGGCCGATAGGCCCAACTCGTAGTAAGTGAACAAATCTCTATGGCGGTCCGCTCGAGCTGGAGCAAGCGAACCAATGTCTCGAGGGGGTTCGGGGGCTATGCCCCCGAGGAAAAATTTCGGGAGCACTATTTATACTGCGGCTAGGTTTTCTCATTGATATAGAGAGAGAATTTTATTTTCAGAGAGTTTTGTAAGTCGTGAGCTTTTGTCATTGTTTCGACTTCTGAAAACTGTACTTTCTTTGATTATAGTGAAATCTTGTCTTGCCTCGCCCGTGGACGTAGATTACGTTGTGATCGAACCACGTAAATCCTCGTGTTCTGTGTTTGCTTTTCCGCATTTGCTACAACACTTTTTATTACTATAGATGTATGACGCTATCTTTTCCTTGTCGTGTTGATTTTGTTACAGTGTAGTAGTAGTCATCTAAATTTTGATCAATTTTCCCATAGGTTAATGAGATCTTCCGTATGAACAGATTGGACATGAAGATCAATAAAATTGTATTCTTAAGGAACTCTAGTCTTTTACATTTTTCTTTTGTTGAAACCTAATATTTTAGGAACTCAAATTCATTTTTTTATTTTAGGTGATGAATTTCACATTGAGCTCAAATAATGAGAGTCAATAATAACTTTTCCTTCAAACTTTTATTCTTTCATATGAGACGCTACTTGTTTTCATATTATAAGTTTCTTGTTTATTTATTGTAATTTTGTCATCAACTTCATAGATACCTTTTTTTTTTTCACTTCTAAGCAGTGTTCTATTCAGTTGATTACATTTTCCTTCGTGCAAAAATATGCTCGCTGGAAAGCATTGGTAGCATTTTTTTCAATAGTCTTGTTATTTCATTATGTTTTGCATCTCAACGTTTATATTTAGTTTTTCTTAACTGAGGATACTCATGACATTTGCACATGCTTGTTTGATAATTATACAAATCATCCATATGTTATAATTGCTTTTAGTGGATCACCTTTTAACTTTCATGCTAATAATGAAAATTTATCATCACACGAAATTCAAAACCATATTTACTTTGCTTAATAATACCAAAAATCCTAAACTGGTAGACTTCTTCCACATTTACCCCATACTAATTTTCAAGTCATAAAAAATCTTAAACTAGTAATCCCTATCACATTTACCCCAAATTAATTTTCGTTTCTCAAAAATAAGATAACGGTATACATGTTAACTAAATCTTTGCTAAATAAGATGCTCACTTGGAGTTGAACAATAAACAAATAAGTATAATTGCACGATAGCTTATATTTAACAATAAATAATATCGGGGAATCAATAGAAAAATTATTTATCGTCACAAAAAGAAAAGGTATTAGCATATTTATAGAAAGAAACTATCCGCTATTATGAAAAGTCTATACAACGAAAATAATATATATCTAAAGGGTTATATTACATGGTTGCTCATATATAATAAATTAATACGATTACCACATCAACAAATTGACGATGTCAACTAACGATTGACCGCCAAGGCTCGATTGCCAAAAAAGTGGAAGTTAGAGGACTATATTGAGCAAAAACAAAAATAGATGGGGGACTATATTGCACAACCAATAATACTTGGGGCATACACTTAACCCAACTTAACAAATACAAGAACCAAGATAGCTAAATCATCACAAATGAATGGACGTCTCATTTATCATACCAAACAACTCATAAGAAGTCAATACTTAGTAAAAAAAAGAAAAGAAATAAAAGATCTCACAAGAAACCAAAAGACGAACCCAAACATCAAACGCGTGCATCAAACAAATATGTGGGAAATGCATGCCCGCAACATTTTATAAATGTCAATTTTTCTCTGAAAATACTCCGTCAAATATTATGTTTTTGTAGTTTTTATCGTTGCATTGAAGTTACTAAAAGGAGAGCATCCTCATCACAATACTACCAGGTAAAGATATACATTAATCATCTATAACCAAGAAATTGCTCCTCAATTATGCTTCAGAATTAGGCAAAAACAACAATTAATCAAAAGAACTCTTTTGCTAGTAGAAGCAGCAAGTTATAAGACTAACAATTATTTTTATTTCAGACAACAAAGGGAAGATGGACCCACATCATTGACTGAAACAAGTACAGAAAACTCTTACCTTGTTGTTGTCAAGCACATCTAGGGCTTCCTTATAAATCCACAATCTGCTACGCTCTTGAGGCTCCTTTGGATTTTCTAGACGAACTATTTCCCTTCCAAGATCTCTCAGTTGATCATGCATCATTAGCTTGCCATCTTCGTTAATTTTAATGAGGGACATAAGACTCAATACTTCGATCCCCGTCCCAGGGAAAAAATCACAAGCATCCCACATATAAGTCGGACTTTGTTGAGATGATCCAATAAAAAAACATGCAATATCCAAAAATATCCATTGGTCCTCAAGATCTAATGCATCGAAACTTATCTTCAACGTATCTTGCACTTTCTTATTAGGCACTTTCCTTAATTTCTTTGATGCATCTTCCCATGCTCCTTTTTTCTTTCCGTATAAGAATGAACCTATAACTTCAAGAGCTAAGGGAAGCCCCCCAGTAATAGATGTGATATTTCGAGAGATAACCTCATAATCACTTGGAGGATAATCCTTTCGAAATGCATGTCTACTAAATAAAATCAATGATTGTTCTAAAGGCAACTCCTTGAGTTCATACAGGAAGCTTGCCCCAACCTTGTCAAGAATACTCTTGTTTCTAGTTGTGATGATGATTGCACTTCCTGCTGTAAACCAAGTACCGTCTCCAACCAAAGCATTCAAATGAGTATCGTCATCCATATCATCGAGAAGAATGAGGACATTCTTGTTTGTAAATAGAGATTTGATTTTACCGATTCCCTCATCAACATTAGACACATCATCAAAATTTTCTCTTGTGTTAGAAATGAGTTGCTTTTGTACGCATTCAATACCCTTGCGCTGAGATGTTTCTCGAATATTTGCCACGAATCTACGACAGTCAAAATGACTAGAGAGCTCGTTGTATAACACCTTTGCAAGAGTTGTCTTACCGATGCCGCCCATTCCATAAATTCCGATAATCCGTGTACCATTGAAGTTAGCATTTATCAAACTCGTAATTTGTTCCACATGATCATCAATTCCCACCAATTGTTTAGGAACACTTAGCTGGAAAAGTCTTTTTAACTCGCTCAACACTTTTCTAACAACAATTTTAACCAATGTTCCTTCATGTCTGTCAAGTAACAATAAATTTCAGTTTAGGATAGCAATATGTATATTCTTTTTTAAGAAAGATCTATTTACGAAAAATTAAACAATGTTTTGTTGGAGAATAATGTACCCGTTATCAATTTTCTCCGATTGCCATCCTTTCAACAAGCTGATTTCTTTGAGTGCTTCTTCCCATTCCTTCACAACCATTTCGTCCATATTCTTTTTATGCGCATCTATAGCATCTCTCCATTTCCCTGTCAGATGTCGCACCTGTGAGGGTTCCACTTTGTAAAATATGGGCAACACTATCTGCCCTTTATTTCTCTTGCACTTCAACATCTCAGCCAGCTCGTGGAGGCACCATTTACTTGAAGCGTAGTTCTTTGAAATAATTGGGATTAAGATCTTAGACTGCGTAATACCGCAGAGAAGCTCCGGACCAATCTCCTCACCAACAGGAAGCTCATTGTTGTCTTTGAACACGTGAATTCCTGCATCGGCAAGGCTATTATAGAGATGATCGGTGAAGCCTTTGCGAGTGTCTTTCCCTCTGAAGCTCAAGAACACTTCATAATCATTTCCCTTCGGCCTTTCGATTCCGCCTTCATAATCATCTACATGTGGAGAGTTTGAAGAGGAAGACGCTTTGTAGATCGGATCTTCTGAATGAGTGGGTTCTTTCCTTTTCATCTTGAGAGGATTGTGAAAGAAATTGATGGAGCAGAAAACAGAGGAGAGAAATATGGAATCCCAGATTTGGGAATAGCAAAAATGTCTCGCAGGACTCAAACTTGGAGCTACATTCAGACAAAAATAGAAACTCTCAGCCAACACATCAGAAGAAAAATGAAGCAATCAAATCAGGAAACAGAGAACGGCAAGGAGTAGTCGATTACCTGAGGAGTGCTCAAACTACGCAATTCACCCACGGCTATGATCTCCCACAATCCTCAGCCTTCGACGTTGGATTCCCTACACACCACACAACACTGTCTAATATGCGTACTGAGTTCTTGCCATCCAATGGTCCAAGACTCTTCGTGCTAATCGAACCACTGCGAAGGCATGCTGCGGTAAGAACAGTCATTGCACGCGAAATTTCCGCAGCATCATGCGGAAGGTGTGCGGAATCCGACGAACAAAGACTGACATGCTCATGGGGTTCCGAGAGAAACATCACAAGAATGGACAAATGGATTCTTGAGGCTATGACAGTAGGATTTAACGCACCTCCGACAGAATTGGTTGCTGGTATACTTTGGCTGATATGGAAAGCTCGAAATTCCTATGTTTTTCAAGGTCGCAACCCAAATCCAGATACAATCGTGGACGACGCCCTCGCGCTGCAGAAGAGTTTCACGCTGCAATCCCAAACACCCAAGAGTTTAACAACGAAGAGCGGTGATTTACCGATTGGGTGGATGCCGCCGGGAAAAGGCCTTTCGAAGATGAATGTTTACAGATCGTGGGTTATCAGCCATAAATCTTTCAATTGTATCAATTAAATTATGAATTTTTTGACAACTTGTCAATTTAATCCTAAACCTTTCAACTGTCATAATTTAGTCTTAAATATTTTGATAATTTACAATCTTTTGACAAATTGTCAATTTAGTCATTTCGACTAAAATCGGCCAAAAATTGCTGACGTTGCAGTCTAGTCAGCATCGGCCGTCTTACGTGACACGGTAGACGCTATAGTGGACAGTTTTTACAATTTTTTTTTTAATTTTCTAAACTTTTGTATTTTTTTCCTTTATTTTTATTTTCTTTTCTTCTTTTTCCATTTTTACCTTCGGCGGCTATTGTCAGGCCTTGTCAATGGCCAGCAGAGGTCATTGGCCTCAGCGAGGGCAGCCCTTGCTAGCCCAAGAGTGGGCGTCCCTCACTCGAGGCCTGAGGCTGGCGATAGAGCTGTAAACGGTTCGGTTCGGTTCGATTTTCTTGAAAAACCGAACCGAACCGAACCGAACCGTTAAGGAAGCACCCCTGAACCGAACCGAAACTCGCTCGAACTGAATTGAAACCGAACCGAAAAACTGATTTGGTTCGATTCTGTTCGGTTCGGTTCGGATCAGTTTTCGGTTTCTTTTTTTTTTTTTTTTTGCTTTTTATTCATGGCCCGATTTTCTGTTTTTTCTTCTTCTTTTTTGCTTTTTATTCCTATAAAAATATTTTAGTCATTTACTTGGCAGCACAAATTGAAGGAAGTAACAATTTGTAAAGAGGAAGTAACAATTTCTTTCTTTCTTTTATTGTAGTCTCCAGTCCATCATAAAATTTCAGAATCTATATTCATTAACTTGCCAGTTTTCTAAGTTGAATATTAGAGGGAATACTGTGACACAGAAACACGGCAGCGCACCGTGTAACTCGCCCCAGACACTAACACTTAGCATAAAAAAAGAACGACAAAGCTAAATTTTGAACAATAGCATATCGTAACTATATTATCAACAATAATTCAGATGAGGCCAATCTGACTTCCTCATATTAAGACTGAATAACGCATAAAAAGAGAGGGTGACTCACAAACTCGGAAGAAACTATGACCAGTGTCGATCTACAATTACGGAACCTAGGCAACCAAAATTCTTCAGCACCACAATTCACCTAGATGGAGATGGGCAATTCTTCAGTAGCTCAAACTCAGATGACAACGGAACCTGGGCAACCAAAAGAGGGAAAGCAGCGGACTATAGAATCGCCTGACCCAATAAAAAACATAAGAGAGAGACAGAGCACAGCAAGGAGATGACTACTTCTCTTTTGTTCTTCAATCATCAAGGGAAACCAATATCGAGTTCAGCTCCACGGTCACAGTTGACAACTCTACATTAAATTCACAATAAAAATGAAAATTAAAGTATCTATTGCATTAGTAAATGATATAAATGAACGCGAAGCAAACTAGTTCAACAGAACAAACAAACACAAGGATAGAGTCATGGTGAGAAAAGAGAAATACCAAACGAACAGGATGAATTATGAAAGTGACGGAATTACCAATGAATGGGTGTAACACTAGAGTCATTTTGTATTTTTCCGATGTTAGCAATGCTATTTTTGTGAAACTGTCCTAATGCTTTTCAGTCCACCAAAAAAATAAGATGATAATTTCAAAGCTCTTGGGTTTTAAATACCTTAAGGAGGTCAAAAACCTTCTCAGCAATATATTTCTGCTGAAGATTGGCACCTTTTTGCTGCACCTTGTCAGGATGAATACACAAAGTTGCCTTCCTATAGACCTTTTTAACTGAAGCAGCAGCAATCAAATCCGTCATAGAAATAGGTTCCCAACCACATTCAGGCCAGAGCACCTAATAAGAATATGATTAACAGAAATTGCTTAGCCTTATCACTAGAAAGGTATTCTTCAAACAATTGAAAAAGCGAAATAAATGGTAGAGGATACAATCATAAAAAGTTGATATGAGATTTGAGCAAAATGTCTAATAAATAACTTTGGGTGATATATGCCGATAAACACAGGGTAGCTTAAAAACAAGCAGGTAGCTTAAAAATATGCAAAACAGTCCTATGCAGGAGTACATCCAGATCAAGTCAGCAAAAGCTCAATAATGCTATCAATTTAACATGGCTCAATAATGCTTTCCTCATGGGACTTCTTGATGTCCCAAAGGATGAGTAACAGAAGATTGCATAAGACTTGTTGTTGCACCCATCCAATGCCAGTATCATTAAATAAAAAAAAACAAAGCCTAAAGTACTCAGGCCATGTCCAAAGCATCATTTACCTAAAAAGCATGCGTTAGCTACACTAATTTAAGTCCTCATGGGACTTCTTGACGTCCCAGAGCATGAGTACCAGAAGATGCAGCCTGTATTTTTGCAAGCAATGCACAACAGGGAAAAGAACATGGAGGAACACATCTAACTTACATATTGCAAAGTGGATAGCAGAGCACGCAAGTTCCCCTCTTTTCCAGCAGCCCAGCGCTTTATCTCAACATCCAGTGTTTCAGCAATCCTCTGAAGGAATTTGTCAGATAAGCGGTTAACGTTAACTTAAGGAAAACTTAATCGCAGGAGTGTCAGCAAATAGCCATAAAGGATATAGCTTTTCACCGAGAAGATAAATGCGTAATCAGAAGCAAGAGGAATTAGTCACAAGCAAAGATATGCAACTCCAAGCATTTATGGGCACCATGAAGACAACTTTTTGGGAAGTAATGAGCAACCGAACAGGAATTGGAAGACCTGTGCAGACGCGACTAAACCCAATTCACCCAGATAGGAAATGAGATGACCCAGATCGTTTACCTTCCCTCCGGCGGCGGGATCGGCGAGACTAGGGTTTGCGAGCTTGAACAAACGACCTCGAAATCTGGGGTCGAATCAGAGAGGCGCAGCGGGGCAGAGGCAGAGGAGAATATCCCGATCGTGCGCGAGGGGCGAACCGGAGCGCGACACGAGAGAGACCCAGCGAAGAAGATGAAAGCCCAGATTACATGGGCGGCGGGTGCTTCCTCTTTCTCCTCCGCCTCCCTTTTTCCAGCGAGAAGACGATCGGCGAGAAGACAATTGGCGAGAAGACGATCGGCTCAAACCCAGGGCTCGGTCGCGCGGACCGGCGGAGGAAAACGCCCGGCTCGGGCCCGTGGTCCCGGCGGGAGCTGCGGCCGGCGGAGGCTGCGGCGGCGGTGGCGGCGGGGCCGGAGGGGGAAGTCGTGAATTTCGGAGGCGGAGCGGCGAGGAGGAGAGGGAGAGAGGGAGATGCGAGCGCGAGAGAGGGCGACTGAGTGGGCGAGATAGGGCTAAAACCGAAGTTTATTTCAGTTCGGTTCGATCCGAACTAATCCGAACCGAACCGAAATAAACCGAATTGAAAAAAAAAAATTGATTAATTTTGATTATTCGAACCGAAACCGAAATCGAATCGAAATGCATGAAATTTTCGGTTCGATTCGGTTCGGTTCGCATCTCAGTTCGATTTTTTGGTTCGGTTCTGACACCCCTGGCTGGCGACCTCCGATGGCCATCGACGAGGTTTGGTGATGACCGACGGAGGGAAAAAGGGAAAAAGAAAAAAAAATAAGAAAAGAATAAGAAAAATGAGAGAAGAGGGGGAGGACGTCTTGAAAATATATTATATGGTTGCATGTTAGTTGGATGTTGGACGTATTGTACAACTTAATATATTCTCCACTTGCCATTATCATGTTCCGCTTGCCTGGAAGCTACCTGGAGCCTTCCTTCATCAATACAAAAATGCCATTCAGACTAAGCACCAAATACGGGGCTAAGTTTGAGGAAATATTTGGTGAAAGTCTTCGAAGACGAGGAGGTCGTCTCGGAAATATATTATATGATTGCGTGTTCTTTAGATGTTGGACGTGTTGGACATCTTAATATATGTTCCACTTGCCATTACTTTGTTATTGTGTTCCACTTGCCTGGGAGTCACCCACGGCCTTCCTTCATAAGTTAAAAAACCAATTCAGATTCGCACCAAATAGGGGGCAAAACAAAGGAAACAGAGGTTTAATGTTGCATAAGCCAATTAAGCAATCGAACAATAAATTTGACAGAACAATAAAATAAATCGGACACCAGATTTACGTTGTTCGATCGTAGTGACCTACATCCACGAGGAGAGCAGCACGGAATTTCACCATAGATCAAGCGATACAACGGAGATTACAACCACACTCGAGTTACCCAAACACTCTAAGTATTTCCCAAACCCCAATTACACCCAATAATTCACGCAGTATTTAGCCCCATAATTCCTCACGAAATAATCTCTCAATCTCATGAATCTTACCACAAGATTTAATCGCTACAAACACTTGAACTCTTGGTGTAATTCCACGAACAAAATCACAAAGATTGTCCACCGCCAAGCACTCACACACAAGCGGCACTTCAAGAATAACTTCACCTATTCATCAACAAAGGCGTGCCTTCTTTGCTCCAAAAGAACAGCCAAATATATGTTTATCTAAAAACAAGATCAGGATAATCCTTCCGGAAGCACAC